CACTCTTCTCCCCCTAAAAAAAAAAAAAAGGGGGGGGGTTGTTGTCACAACAACTCTATTAACCAAAAAGTAATTTGTGTTCATCTTTCTTGACCTTTCAGTCATCTGTGGATAATTATTGCAAAGCCTTGAATATCTGTTTCACTAATGCTATTTACTAGATAAAAAGATCTTGGAACTGAGCATGAAAAAGATAAAAGGAGCAAGTTCATCCAATTTGTGGCAAATTTTATTGCAATTTTCATTGCCTAATAAATTGTTTTCAGTACATAAAATAATTGCATAAAGGTGATGTGAACATCAAATATGCTTTTTCCAAAACTTACATGCAAACTGAAGCTTTGCTTTCCTGCTCAGAATCGTTCCAAATGAATTTGTGACCAAACATTGGTATGTTCCAATATCCTGCTTCTTACGTGGATTATTGATTGCCAAGCTGCCTCCAACCAGCCTGTAGTGATAACTCATGTTAAGATCAATATCTGTGCCATTTTGCTTCCACCTTTGAGGGGGGAAAAATCAAATTATACTTATAATTTACAGAGGCTATTCAGGTTTCACTTTTATGTTGTTGCTGTAACATACCTGCAACAATGAAAAGCACAGTTAAAATATTAGAATATTGTATCATATTTTACAGCAGACTAATTTTTATATCCCTCTTGCAAATTCCACTGTAAATTTTACAGTCTGAAAAAAACTCTTTTTAATGGGGTATTCTATGCAAACAGCCAAATGTCTACAAAAATAATTGCAACTTATTTCTATCACCTAAGCCATACATTTCAATAGTAGTACAGAGAATGACATGACTACAGATACTTTTTTTTTTTCTTATATACTATAAAGGGTATCTGGAAATACTCTGTATTTTACAGCCCATGCAACTAATGCAATAAATTTGCTTATAGTAAAGATTTCAGAGATATAAATCAGAACAAATTATACTTCAAAAGGCAAGAAGAAAGCAGGAAAGGGATATTTATACTACTTGTATGAGGGTGATAATGTAATAATGATAACACTGTTATTTTAAAACATGATCTGTCTCTCTTAGCCTGTTAGAGAGAAAATGAATCGTGTCTGCAACAGATCACAGCTATTTACAAATGTCAGAATAAATTGTGTTTCATAGATAATCATATTTTCCACCGGAATAATAATAAAACTTCGGGTAGATTAGCCATTTGTTGTCATGAAAAAAAATATGTTACCTAAAATCAAGTCTACCGTTTCTGGGTAGCAACATTCCACACAACCACTTGATAGAAACAAAGAATTAAAATTGTCTGTATTCTGCTCTCATTTAGTGGTCACCTAGAACTGAAGACTCTGGTCCCAGACTCAAAATCAGATTTGCTTTCTGCTTTCTGGCTGAATTCTTTTCATAGAATGGCAATCCAAAAGATTTGGAGAGACAAATGTTTTCTTGTGGGGAGGAGGAGGTTGATAATAAACAGGAGCATTTGCAGGAGTCAGAAAAAGTTGTCAGAAAAAGCCCACTGTATGATAGATGTGGCAATGGCAACAAAAAATCTCAATCACTAGAAAAATCCTGCAAATCCAAAGCACAACATCAAAGATGTTGAGACCCAAGTACAATGTTGACCTTACATACTTAGGTTCATGCTTTGGAATAATTTCATTTTGAAAACAGCAGATCAACTTTTGGGGCATAGGGAAAGTCATTGGCAATTGGTGCTCTTTAGATCCGTTTGTTGCCCATTAAGCCTTCAGGTATTTCAGTTGCTGCAAGAGGAATTTAGTTTGCCTAAATCTGCAAAATGGCAGTGTAGCCTGAGCAGAAGAGATTGTGCCTCTGCCTCCAAATTCTCTTTGTTCCCTTGGAGTGTTCTTATTCCACCCAAGTCTCCTAAGTCCAAGGAAACATTAGTGAAAGCAAATTATATTTAAAGTGGGCAACTTGCTACCAGCATGGTGAATGTAGCCCAATGCCCACTTCCCAAAACCTGCTTTGCAATTGCCATCAAAATATTGTTTGACAAAGCTTGACACTTGGAAAGTGTTACGTATAAATCTAATTCCACAAGGTATTTTAGATTGATTGATTGATTGATTGATTGATTGATTGATTGGAGTGATGAGACAGGAGTTGGGGAAATTTTTCACCTTCTTCCTGTTCCTTTTCAACCTGACATTCCACTCAAAAGCCAGTGTGCCAACAGTCCAAATATTTTCCTGCCCTTGGCATAAGGTAAGATAACCACCTTTTTGTCTCTGCTTGAATTCTTTGTTGTATCTCAAGACTACTACTGGGGAAGTGGTTTTAGAAGGAGTTGTAATGGAGAGGCATCTGGTGCTCCTACATTTGTGAGTGGCAGATGAAGAGGAGACCTCACTGAGAGGTCTCTCTCCCTGGGAATGTGAAACATCTTTAATATACACTATTTGGAACCTGGCTGAAAATTTCTTTTTGTGACTTGTATTCAGACAAGATCAATTCCAATGGAAACTAAGCCAAATTAAATTTAAATTAAATTATCTTGCCAATTTGTTAGACTACATAATTAGTGCCTGCAAACTTCACAATGGAAAGGCAACTCCTAACTTGATGTTTAATGGGCATAGCATAATTGACCTGACTCTACTGCAAAATAAATTATTAAATATAAATAAAGCTTAATCTGAAGAGCTTATTTTTAAAATGGAAGTGTTTGAATAGATACCTATGCATGGAAAAGTCATTCACGTTCAAAGGCTGAGTAGGAATTTCAGAGAGATATAGTGGAAAAAAGGCTTTTAGATAAATACATATTTTTCAAAATGAGTGAAGCTGAATGGATATTACATCAATTGAGTTCTATAAACAATTGCCTGTAGCTCAGAATCATTTCTTGGATCCGTCTTTCAAAGGTTTGCCTTTATGCAGTCATAAGGTAACAGGGTCTTGCTAGCTAGCTGTTGCTGCTCATTTTAACTCTTCAGTTCTTATGTTCTTTATCTAATTTCACATTTTTATCAGGTCTAGTGGACCTGTTGGGCATTCTGCAGCATTTCATAACTCAATCCTCTGAATTTCATTTTATTCTCCCCTCACCACCCGTTTAAATCTATATACAATGTATGTCCTCTGGATCCAAAATTTTCTAATGCTGGAAACACTAGTGGTTAATTTGCCAGCTCACTTTAATTTCAGAATCAATCACTGAAATAACTGCTGTCATCATTACATGGCTCCCAATTAAACCCTATAATTGTTTCTCAACACAGATGCAAAGTTGTTGGCTTACTTGCAGCAAATGAATTTTTCACAGTGTCCCCATAATCATTCTAATCACACAGTATGATTATTATTAAACTGTGCATATAGATAAGGAATTCAGCTCCTGGTTATGGTCTTCTCTTAATTAATATGTTTAAATCAATGAAGTAAAGCTATTAATGGATGCATATGATTGCCAGGTGAGTCTTTAATCAGATCATGCATACCCTGATGAATTACTTAAAATTCAGCAAGAAATAAAAACTTGGAAATTATTTCAAATAATGTAAATTCAGTACAGATTAATCGTTTTAACATGCAAGCATAAAATCCTTCTTGTATTTGTGTAAAACATGCAACTCAAAGAATTCATGAAAGCTCAGTGTGTGTCATGGAGGAAGCCATTTATACTGACTCTACTTCATAAATCTTCCATAATAAGCAAGGTCCCCAGACATATAGAGAGTTCCAGTTGCATTTCAGCTAAAGTGAACAGAACCCCCCTTGGTGACTCTAAGGTAGTCTAGGGTGATCAAGAACTGAAAGGATGAACATTGGTACATAGATATGATCCTATTCCACTCTACTAGGAATATTCTTGTCCCATTTCTCATGTGGCTTGGTTTTTCCATTTAGAGAGATGGTTTCAGAGGATGGAAGAGTGGTTTTGGTCCCATTCAGTTTGGATATGTTGGTCTCACAGGCCAGATTAAGCCTGCAGACCAGAAATTCCCCACTGCTGCTCTGTGTGCTTTGATTATAATTCTAGATAGAGAATGTAGCTACAGTAAGCACAAACATCAGAAATTAGACAGAGCAGGAAGAGGGAATCTATTCTTCTGGCAGATTTGTTCTTGAACAATTGGATGCAGATGGAGAAAACCCAGTGCAAACACTGCTATGAGAGCAAAATATTTAAAATTGGTACTGGCTTGATGTGATGGCGTGTGAGGGTGACCTTGGAAGATGGGGGAAGAGATGCTAACTAAGAGAAAGGAGCCCGCAACAGAGTAACAGCCAGAAAAAGAAGCTTAGGAAGGATCTGCCCTAACTACTCAGGTGGTAAATAGGGAAGGTGGGAGATTTGTACTTTCAGACTTGCAAGATTCTATCAATATAGCCTATCAATAAAGTAGAAGTAGCTCATTTGGTTGTGTTTTCTTTCTGGTTTACCTGGGAGGGCTGACACTTGGCCACATTCTATAACTATGAATTTATCATTTTAGCAATCCTGTATCCTTCTTTTCATGGATAAAAAGTTCTACCAAAATTTTCAGGTTCAAGTCCTTCCTTCCTTCCTTCCTCCCTCCCTCCCTTCCTTGAACAAGAGAACAAACCTCAGTCCCAAAGAACTTTTGTTATAAAATTTGATATGGGGAAAATAATGTTGAGGGATAGGAGGAATAGCCAAACATTTGGCCAATTTTGAATTAGAACAGATAATTTTAATTAAATGTAATTTTAATCAAAGTTATTTCAGTTATGCAAGTCACAAGTGTGACACCAGTCCTGTGAGCATGAATTCAGTAGTCATGTTTTGTGGCTAATTGGGATCATGTTGTAGAACTAGTATGGCAAGAGAAGTTGATTCTCTTGTAGCAACATTAGGTTCCTAAGATCTTAACATCTATTTCAGCTGAAATACTTTAAATCACTCTGATCAGAGGTGCATAGCTTCTTGAACTAAACAGCTAGTTGGTAATGATGAATCAATCAATCAATCAATCAAACCACCATAAGTGTACTCAGAAAACCTTGTTCTTCTTAGTGATGGATGAACTCCCATCAACAAAGTACAGACTTTGTCTTGGCAAAACAAAGTATTTTCTTTAAAATCATAAAATAGTTTGACCAGTATTTTCCAAATATAGAAATTCTGTCACATTTCCAAATATAGAAACTCTGTCACATTCATCAAGAACCAGAAGGGATCCAAGCACCTCAGCTATTGCCCTGACATATTATTCCACCACTGAAATAGGTTATTTTGTGGGAAGGGAAAGACAAGAAGTGAAAACTGACTTGAGTTGGAGGAAGGATTGAAATCTAGCATGAGCCTGCCCCCAAATTTAACCTGAAACTGATTTTTATGTTTTTGAACCAGGGTAAATTAAACTTAATCATAGTATCTTTTTCCTACCATCTCTGTTTTATCATTTCAACTACCTTAGAAAATGTGTACCCAATTAATACCAAAATAGGGGGCATTTTTTCATGGTGAATGGGTACAGCAGCATGTACGTCCTTGTATTTAAGCCTATACTTTGGCTTACCATAAA